GAAGTAGCAACTCAAAAACATGACCTGCCCTAACACTTCAAAAACTCATTAGTCAAGTCATCTGCCTTTACCTGTTAGATACCGTTAATTAACAGTAAGCTGAATTTTGCATAATATATGTTTATTTTTAAACAATGTTTTAGAAGATACATGTTTTTTAAAAGCAAAGTGTTGATTATATTGGTTCTTGAGTAAATCCAAGATTTTGCAAATCTTAAATAAACTTCAAAAAAACAAATAAAGCTGCACATACACAAATTAGTTTGGTTTCTCAGAATGCTTTCCTAAGGCCTTGTACAATGAGTTCACTGAATGAGCTGCTCGGTTGGATCTGGCCTTTTAATGTTTAAGGTAATTTTGTTTTTAGTCCTTAGCCTCCAATTTTGGCTTAAAGGATACATCATCCCCATCAACTGCTATGTCCAACTCCTGCCTCCCTGGAGAGCTGACCTTTCAGAGCCCTCTGGTTGGATGCCTGCCCTAACAGTGAAGTTTTCCTTCCTCTGCCTACTAAGGTTAACAGTAAGACTTAAGAAAAATAATTCAAATTTGATTTTGTTTCAATTTACATCCTAGATCAAGAATCTGCAACTCTGAATAACAGGAACACACTGGTTTATCACATCTCTCCCAGTTATTTTTAAATTTAGGATTCATCACCAGATACTCATCATTTATAGAAAAATTTTATCTTTTCTTATTGTTCATTTCATAAAGTATAATTTTTAATACCTTCATAGAGTTCCATAATAGAAACAATATAGAATTAACCTGTTCCCACACACATGCACAAATAATCATAGTTACTTTAATAGTTTTGTGCATAGTCTTTTCAGAGTTTCTTAGATAAATGGATAAACATGTCTATTCTTCTTCTTTTCTTTTACCCCAAGTCGGCAAACCAGATGCACTATTGGCACTGTGCTTTTTTACACTTAACCATTTATCTTGGAGAGCTTTTCGTTTACTACACAGAGCTTCCATGCTCTCTGTGGTTCTGAGTCAGCAAAACCAGGAGCCCAATGATGTGAGGCACTAATCAGCACCAAATATCAGGAAGTGCTAGGCTTACGCCAGCCATGAGAATAGCAGCCTGTTGTCCCTACCGGGCTGCCTTTTACTCCAGAAACTCTCATAGCCCCAGAAAGAACCCTCCCAGAGAACTCTTTATCCATTTTCTACAACAAAGTAGAGTAGAACAGCAAAAGAGAGCTATTCAGTTATGCAGTGATCAGTGACAGAACTAGAGACTGCTGGAATTCTGCACTCTGCCCTCCAATTTTTCTCCATCAGATCACTTATGTCACAAACTTTTCAGGACTTCTCACTACCTGCAGAGTAAATTTCAAATTCCTTTGTCTAGCACTGATCTTAACTTAGGAGGACACAGGGTGTGCCATGGGGAATCGAGAAACCTGGGTTCTGTACCTGGGTCCTGTATGGCCCGAGTTTCCTCACCTATGAAACAAGAGCTGCAGCCAAATTCTCTCTAAGGTCTCTCTGGCATCTTAAATGTCATGCTGGTGAGTCACACTGATGAGTCTGCTCTTGTAGTCATGCCTATATTCATGCCTGGCTCTACCTGAAACACATAGTCTGTTTCTCCTCCTCCACCTTTCTCAAGGCCCACCTGGCTTTTGTTAGTATTCCCCTATTCGGAAAATGCTAAGCACTCTCCTTGCAGGACTCAGAATCTCAGCTCTCTTCCATTCAGTTCAGTGTCTGGTCAAATGAGTCTTATAATCATCTTAGCTGAAAGAGTACTTCCCTATCATTCACCTTACTTTATTTCTGTTCACAGCTCTTACTATATGCTGTATGTATAGTCTTAGTCTATCTCACTCCATTGGAATCCAAGCTCCAGTTAAGCAGGAATCTGGTCTTTTTTGTTGCTGTTGTTAGAAGAGGACCTGACATATAATAAGCACTAAATATTTACGAAATGGGAGAATCATTAACTACAAACAAATAACAAGGACAAGGTACATAGACTCTATTTCCAATATTACTCTCTCAATTAGCACTGAGGTGTTTCTCACATCTCACACCTTGTCAGATAAGAAGGCCCTGCATAGAGGTTCCAAATGGAGGACAAAGTAAGTCAGGGGTGCAGCAGGATGGAAACACATGTAGTCAGGCAAGCAAAGAAGGGTTCTGGAGTCAGTGAGAATGGATCTCATTCTAAACCCCGCCCCTGTGCAACATTGAGCGTATTCCTAACTTCTGTAAAACTTAACAACCTACCTCACACATACGAAACACGGGTAAAGGAAAATTACTTATGCTAAAGCAATTTGTCTGGTGTAAGGTGTCATACTCTCTAAAAGTATTACTAACAGCCAGAAACATGATCAAACTATTTAGCCTTATTTAAAGTGAAGTAACATTCACACAAAGTAGCCACTCTCTAAAACAATGCAGGCACATACGTGCATGTTAGTCCACACATACACAGAGGAGATAAAGCACATCTTCAAAAGATGTAGACTAACACTGAACATGACTTACTAGAAAAGTCTCATCTAAAATCTTGCCACATATTCCACTCTTTAATGTGAACCCTTTCTGGAAAGACTTTAGACAAACAGAGCACTGATCATTGTGAAACTAAATCTTTCCATGGGAAAATGAAAAACATTTACATGAAACCCAAAACACTGATGGGGTATGACCTCAAAACAATGATTAGTTTATCATCCCAACTTGAATGTCTTTAGATGAACTGGCATTCTTAAACATCATTCTTCTTTTAAAATAAACCTTTTGACCTATGCCTGGCACTTTCATTGGAAAAAACAAAAAAGACTACTCAAATTCTACTCTTTTGCTTAAAAATAGAAGAAGAATAAGAAGAAAATCTAAATCTATTCTTAACACAGGTGGCAACTTTTCACACTATGAGTATACATTCTTTTTTTTTAATTATTGCTGTATTCGGGGGTTACATTGTGGCATTTACAAAAAAGTTCTTATAATGTGTCAAAAATATATCATACTTGAATTAATCAGTGAATATTTCAAACTGAATGTAAGTTACTGAACATTGAAATATGCACAAATTATGTTATAAACGTCTACATAAATTGTCATCACTCTGGAATGAAGAAATATCTCCATTAGTCAATTCTTTCAAGTAGCTACAAGTTACTAGTCAAAACTGGATGAAAATCCCATGTTTGGTAAGTCCTTAGAATACCTAACCATATTAGTTCTTCCAACCTTTCTCATGTATAGATTGGCCTAAAGATTTAGAACCATTTGTTCTGTCATGAGGGGCTGGTTATTTTACATCACATTCTTGTCCCAAAGCTGAAAAGTAAAGGATACTTCAGTCAGAGTCTGCTAGAAGAAGGCAGAACACTGTGAAAAGATCCTGCCCATTGGAGTAAGGTGTGAGTTTAAATCCTGACTCTTCTACCCATTAACAGTCAGATTTTGGGCAAGTGCTCTGAACCTCAACTTCCACATTAGCAAAACAGGGATAGTTGAAACTTCCTATAGCTATTGTGAAGGCTACTTTATATTACATATATAAAGTGACTAGTACAAAATACGAACTCAGTAAATGTTAGTTTCTCATCCCACTTTCTTCACAGCTCTAACACTATTCAAGCAATAGCTGTTTCCTACTTTGGAGCCATGTTTAGGCCTTCTGACAGCAGATAATGGTTCATTAAAACATTTATGCATAGATTCAAGATGAACTGTACAAGTTCTTTAAAAGAAAGAGGTCTTGAAAAGATAAAGCTTCATGAGTTGTCAACATCCTACCTTTGTTTTAAGAAGAATTTTCCAAAAGTCTAACAGATTTCAAAAACCCTTAATTTTGGCTCCCACTGATATGTGGAAATCATCCCTGTCATAAGGAAAAACAACCAACACATTAATAGTGAAGAAGCCAGAGGAATCAGTAGAATATTGGGACAGAAATCCTTGATTAGAATCCTAGATTTTCAGTTAGTTTACAAAATTTTGTGAATTCTACAATATTGTATCAAATTTCCTCCTATGAATATGAGCTAATTTTAAGAGAAAAATTCCCTGAATTTATTTTGCTACTCTATTCCACATTTATTTAACTAAACTTTTGCAGGAAATTGGCAAACTACTCTATTAGCTGCTATTATATGGTGAAAGCACCACATAAGACTAAGTATCTCCTAAGGTGCGGGGGAGACTTGGGAAAGGGCTGGTGGCATGGCTCAAGTGGTAGAGCACCTGCCTAGCCTAGCAAGTGTGGGGCCCTGAGTTCAAGAACCAGTGCCACAAAAAAAAAAAACCCTTGGAATTTTAAGCCAGGATGACAACTGTCAGAGAAGCAGAGAATTCTAATGACCCCTAAAATTTCTTTATGGCTTAAGGAATTTTACTACTGCAAAACAGGTCCTGTCTGGTGGGTTAGTACTGGAGCGGAGGGGGGGGATATAAGGAAAGGCTGTAGGAAGGTGAATATGGTGGAAATATAAAATACTCACATATAAAAATGGAAAAATTAGACCTGTTGAAACTATTTTAGGGAGGAGGGAGGAGGGATAAAAGAGAATGATGGAGAGGGTGAATTCAACTATAATATAAGAACTCTTGTAAATGTCACAGTGTACCCCAGTACAACAATAATATGATAGTAAAAATTATAAAAAAGAATTTTACTATTTCAGGATTTTTTGTTTGCCAAGGCTAGTTTGCTACTATTCCTATTTTATAGTTTAATAGAAATGCAAAATCTCCTTCCTCTATCCTGGCATGTAAGAAAAAGACAAGACTTAGCATGCACTATTTTTATGTTGCCAGCCAGAGCTATTTCAAGCCATTTTAGAACTCTCCAATGATTACGCCAAGAAGAAAGGTTAGCATGACATTAGCAAGCTAAAGAGTAAATTCTCAATTTGCAGTCACTTAATAAGCACATTTCCTTTTAACAACTCAAAGTCTATCTTTTGTTCATAACAATAATGCAATTCATCAGCATAAGCCACTAAGCCATAATTAGAAAGTCCTACCTTTTGTGCATCTCCTGTGAAATATGCAATGGCCAGGGTGGGCAGAATCATAAACAGTGCATTGTAATAGAGCAGACCATATTTTCCCAGCTCCTGGAACAGTAAATAAGTAGGTGTTTCATTTGGTTCTAGCAGACAGATATATACACATCCCTGTACAGACTGCTATCCCAGCTACACGTATGTATTATGTTGTGTGACTTTTAGGTTAAAAATGTTTTAATTTCAATAACTGCATTCAAGTCTGAAACACAGCACTAAGTCTTTAAGACTGATGACTAATGCTCACAGGCCTATGATTATAAGCAGTCCTAAAATTATAGGTAATAAAACTTCTGATTTATTCAAAGCATCTCAGGATAAACCAAAAAACTGACTGGTTATGGTCACAAGAACCAGTGAAAAGGTTTGCCTCATTCATACGGACCCAAGAAAAAAACTATATTGGGACAAAACCACCTTCTAAGATGGGAGCCCAGCCATTCAGAGATAGAGTATTATCCAGGAACTACGGGATGCGCAAGTAAGAAAACACAGATAACTGACAAAAACACACATGCCAGAAGTATTCTGTTTTCCTTTCACATTTTTACTGTCTTGAATATCTTTCTCCTTTTTAGTTTAGTTGTTTTTGGTTTTTTTCAAAGGGGGATGCGTGTCTCACTACTCAGCTAACATAGATTGGACTCAAACTCAGGACCTGCAACCTCAGCCTCCAGGTGCTGGGACTAGAGATGATGCCCAGCTCCCCTAACTTCCAAGGACAGAACTCTGGCTAACGTCTGACTCAGGGCATCACCATAAGCTCGCATTACTGCATTGTGCTCTCATAGAGTGCCATCCTTTATGCGGTTTAATAGTTCCTGAATCATATTCTTATCAGTACTTCCGTCTTCTGTAGTTTTTCTGTTTGTTTCTCTTATTAGCTGACCTAATAACAAGAGGTAGATACTAATACTGTTCATTTAAAGGCAAAAACCTCTAAATAAAATTCTGCCTTCTAGTTTGTTGCTTGTAATCTGTGAACCAAGAAATCAGATCAATAAGTGTAAAAGTTCAAATACAAGTAAGTCACGAGTCATTTCTGAATGAGGAATTAAAGGAGTAGAATACTCTAAAACCCTCTTTATTTTCTTTAAAGAATGCATTCTTGACTGTACTATCCAAAATAGCAGCCACATGTAGCTATTTAAATTTAATCATAATTACACAAAACTACTAATTTGGATTTTTGGTTATACCAATCACTTTCCAAGTACTCAACAGCAATGTGTGTCTGGTGGCTACTGGCAATAGACAGTAGAGATAAAGATTTCCATCGTCACAGAAACATCTGTTGGACAGTACTCTTTGAGACAGCTGAACCTGCTGGGTAACTGAAAAGTTATCATCAGTGCCTAACTTTCCAAACAGTAAATGGGTTAAAGAATAAGAAAGAGCAAAACCAAATCTGAAACTGTTCCCCTTTTTCTATTTCCATGAAAATGCAACCATCACACATAACCATCAAGATAAATAAAGGCAGGCTAAGGCATAAAAGCCATACTTAAAGAAAATGTTCTGAAAACAAATCTACCCTGTCCCTAGCGCAAAAAAAAAAAAAAAAACCCTCTGAGAAAAAGGAAACCTCCTGGGACAGCCAAATAAATAAAATATACTTCTTTTCTGGAGGAAAATGCAAAGGCGAAGACATCACCAGCGCAACACAAATACATACAATGATCGAGAAGAGCATTTGTATTTATCATATCAGTTCCAAAAAAGGACAGGAAGTAATTTCAGAAATGCTATATGTATCACAGAGCAGACTAGGAACTCCACAGACAAAGTCATCTGACTGAAGATAAAATATGGGTAGAAAAATAAGATAAAACCATGGTCAGTTATAAGGTTCAATTATAAGATAAAAAATGGACCAGCTGCTCAGGAAAAACTATGGTGACATCTAAGATAAACAGTTTGTGTGGGTGGTCACCTAAGACATGTTATGAGATCAAGGACAACTCCTTCAGTAAGAACCCTGTGAATTATAAAGTGAGCTCCATACAGCTGTTCTTTACAGTAATGTACCCTCATAATGCAGCAAAAGCAATGTGGCTCAATATTCAGTTTTCTGATGGTCTGGCTTCATCTAAAACTAAAATTTAATGTGTATATTTAAAGTATATAGTATGCAAATAAAAATACCTTTAAAAGCCTTCGTATACATGCTACCAGCAAATGGCAAAAAGCTGGGCATACAAAGTTCATGTGTATGAGATCCAGGCCAGGGAAGTTAATGCTGCCCTTGACTAAAGTTCCCTAAAGTTTCCCACTATTTGTAGGGCAACTACACAAGGCCATTCTGATTCTGCAACCTTCTGACATTCACTTCCCTTCGTGACTGTCCCAAAGGTTCCAGTTATTTCTGTTTTCCATCCCAGGTCCCTCACCAAGTTCTCCAGAATACAACCAAGAGCAGTTATGACACTTTTCTCTATGAGTTCTTCACTATGAACACTTCTCTCGATTTTCCATACCCCACTAAGTCAATAATCACACACTCCCTTCCAAAAAAGTCATCAATAAAACCAAATTCCTAATTAAAAAATAATTTCCTTATGTCAGCACCAAAGTACTGGCTTTTTACCCTCAGAGAGCCCATGTCCTTCCCACCCCTCCTCAGTACTTTTCCTAATTCCACACTTCTCCCCGATAAATTAACACTACCATCCCCAACTTAGTAAACATCTAAAAAAAGAAGTTTTATTCTTCTACCTACTTTTGAATCTAATTTTTGTTTCACATATGCACCATTTGCTGCTGTGAGGACATCATTTATCAGAATAAAAACATATCCTTCCAGATCAAATGCCAGGTCAGAGCTGCAAAACATAAGCAAAAGAATAACTTACAATAATAATAACTTACATTAACTTAATTTTAAATATGTCTGAACTACAAAATTTGCAAGAACATATTTTTATCTAGGTAAAAGAACATTATGCATTTTGGCAGCTATGAGTATTTCTTTTTTTTAGGGTGTAGGGGAGTCTGGGGTTTATGAGTGTTTCTTGAGTCCTGGTCACATGTGGCAATTTCATACTCAAGGGATCCTTTAGACATGAGAAGCTCTGATACTTAACACCTCATTAGAAGTAATCAATCATGGAACCTGGCATGCTGGCTCATGCCTGTAATCCCAGTACTTGGGAGGCTGAGGCAAGAGGATCTCAAATTCTAAGCCTACCTGGGTTACACAGGGAAACCTTGACTTGAAAAAAAATTCAGTCATGTTGGTTAATAGTCTACTACTCTGAATTCAAAACCAGGTAACATGCAACCAACTTTACCATTATGGTACATCTCTGAAACAGGCAGAAGGCATCAATTCATAGATAAGGAAACCAAAAGCATGTTAACGTATCATTTTTTCCAAAGTTTCAAACAAAACATAGCACTAATTTGTATAGGGAGTTATATACTGGGTGGAATTTCTGAAGCATGGATCACAGTTGACTCTGAGATTGAGCCACAACAGTATCTAAGAACACAGTAGGACCTTATCTACTTAAATAATTGCTCAACTACCTTTGAGGTATAACTGGTGAGATTACAGAAACTGAAAGTTTTTGCTGTTTGGTAGAGTAGTGGACAAAATTCAATAAATTTAAATGAATAAATGAAAATCTTGGAGAAAAGACTGTGTCCAGCATGCCTTAGCACCCTAGCTGAAACAGTGCCTCCCAGTCTATGACTTTGCAAAGTTAACTATATACTTGAGGCTAAACTGTGAAGTGGATCCACGTCTTAAGAAGTTCCAGGTCACTGTAATTTCAGGCGGGACTAGCCTAACACTCCCACACCCCAGTCTCATAACTCTCGCTAACTTTATAGACCAAAGTTCGGCCTGAGGAAACCCCATTGGTTCATACAGTTGTGGAGAAAACACTTCAAAATGAAATACTTCAAAATGTTTAGAAGTTAGCAGAGCACCTCTGAAAAAAAGTAGTAAAGAATTTTTCTCCAAGGAGGCAATACAGCATAAAGGGAAAAGCAGTCCGCTATTATATAACCAAACTTTAGTAACAAAATATCCCACCCTCTTTTTTTTTTTTAGAATGAAATTTCACTTGCAATTTAAGATAAGATAGAATTTGACTTCTTTTTCTCCCATTGGTACTACAGGGATCTGATGAAAGAAAGTGAGGTAATCCAAGAAGTATACTGAACACCCAGATGGAAAATTATTTCAGGCAGAATTTGTGGCATTAGCAAATCCATCTATGCAGGGCTTGGGCTGAGTAAAATGTCATAGGAAGCTTCTAGAAATCATTCTAATTTTCTAAGTCTCTGAATATACATTTTCCCCATATATTCCTTCCTTCTTTCCCTACTTTTTGCTTTCCTTCCTTTCTTCTTCCCTCCCTTTCTTCTTAAATTGTCACATAGTAATTGAACATATTTATGGGGTACAGTGCAATAATTCTCTACATGTGTATGATGTGTAATAAGCAAATTAGAGTAATTAGTACACTTCTCTTCTAAAATGTTTATCATTCCTTTGTGTCTTTCTCCATGCATCTTAAAGTTGAAACTGAAGAAAAATGGAAAAGCTTTAAATTAAAGAGTTCTCACATTTGTGATATGTCATAGGTAAGGCCAAATGAAACAAAGCTGTTACTCCTTATTCCTCAAGGTAGATGGTCTGTTGTCATCCGCCTGACCTCACAGAAGAACAGACACCATTTTCTTTAACAGCATACAAAGTAAAAGAATGCCCCCTGGCTTACAGAACATAGGCTCTGAAGTCAGGCACAGTTTCAATTTCCAGCTCTGCCGTTCACTAGATGTGTGACCCTGAGCAAGTCATAGTTTTAGTTTCTTCAACTATTAGATACCTCTGAGTTGTGAATACATAGATGTGTTCAACGCTCAACATACTGCTGGGCACACGGTATGCGCTCAGTGAACAGCAGAAGTAACAAACCCCAAATTACATAAAGTTAACTTTAAGCATCCCCAAAATTGAAAATTTACTAGAACTGATCTTAATATAGCTGAAAAGATTTAACCTTTTGAAGAGTCTTTTGAATATTCTTCAAAGATACACTCCTTACTGAGGCTATGAAGAATTATCGTATTGATAACTGATCATTTATTACCAATAATAAGATAATTTCTAATGTGATAGCTATAGGGCCACGTCTTACCTGGCAGCTACAAAGGCTCCAATAATCATTGCAAATACAGTCATTTTAATACCCCAAGAAAAAGTCTTCCTACAAAATAATTAAAAAATATATACATGACTTTAGTTATTCATTTAGACTCATTTTACAACATAGACAAAAGTGATATATGTTCTTCTAAAAAAACATAATCTACTTTAAATATTTCCAAGGTACTGGATATTTAAAAGAACCCCTCTGATGAAGCAAAAGCTCATTTTGTTATATAACTCATACTCATTTTTTCTTATTCTTGCCATTTGTTATTATTAGTGAGTTGGAATTTTTTACAAGTCAGTTTCTTTTTATTTTAATTTCTTTTATTCATATGTGCATACAATGTTCAAGTCAGTTTCTTTAAGTGGGAAAAAGTCACACACATTTGTAGTAAAAGTAGCCAAGACATGAACACTATTTAAAACCTATGCTTGTGATCCTGAGCCGGCTTCACCCAGTGGCAGCAAAAGCTACAGGAACTCTAGAAAAACAAGTCTCATGTGCATACAAATTTCTATCTTCAGCTCATAACCATCCCAACTACTGCTCCACAACTATCAGTTCCTACAACAAGGAAAGGAGGTTGCCTAAACTGCTCAGAAGTTGAAGTAGAAACAAGCCAAGTAATTGTAATATCTCACACATGCTGGGTAGCTTTTCAAGCTGCTTAAAGTTGTTTAAAAATATATTTGGGTGTATTAGAAATTTAGCTCACTTGAGTAAAACTCCTTCAGCAAACATTGTAAACAGGATGGAGAACCTTCTCAGAACTGTAAACATTGGCAAGCTGCAACAATAAAGATAATTAGTTAAAATAAAGTTTCAACAATTTATATTTTTAAACCAAGATTCTCCAAATTGGTAGTTTAATACAATGCTAATCTCTTCCTTCCACTGTGAAAATTCCATGCTGATGAACTTGTGATTAAATTAAACCCTTACTTCACTTTCAAAATAATTCTGAGTTAAAAGCCTAAAAAGGTTGCTTTTAAAAAACTACTCAGTGAGAAACAGTAGGTTAACTATAAAATGGTAGACATCATGCATCTAATATCACAGAACAGCATACATTTTTATATCTTACTCTACTAATTGTGGTAATATCCTGGTTATGGTAGTCTTTAATAGAAAAGGTCTATTTCTTCTTTCCTTCACTGGATTGCCTTTCCTTCCTACCACCTAGACCATCAAAACACATGTATGAAAATATTACTCCGTGAAACATTCCTTGATTATCCTTTTATAGAAGTTTTCCTCTAAATTCCTAGGGCGTTTTGTTTGTGCTATTAAACATACAACCACTAGCAATATAATTATTTCTGAATTTATCTTATCTCACTCCAAAGTGCCTTATCCTTAACTGGTAACCAAAGGAAAGGTGTGAATGAATGGATGGATGACAATGGACAAAGAAAAAGCACACTAGATACAAGCAGCACGTTGCAGCAGGCCCACATTTCTTTCCACATTGGTAATGAAATGGAAAAGGATGTCCTACCCAGGATAAATGTGACTTTCTTGGAAAGAGTTCCAGAGATATCCTTGGTCATTCTATCAGATTTCTTGGTTTAAAAAAAAGGAGGAAACAAAAAATGCGTTGCCTCTGATCTTTAGATGATAAAGCAACACACCTGGGCTTCATTCAGCTCGTAGAAGCATGAACACCCCGGTTTCTGTTACAGTTTCCCTCTGTGTGCAGTTGTAATATCACACACACCAACATAAAGTAGAGCAGCCAGGAACTGGGAGGTGAAGGGTAACAGACAGTGTTGCCATGAAGTGGAGAGCTATCGCTTTTTTCTAACAGTGAATGTGCTGCCTCTCCAGTTATACAGCCATGGGTAAGGTATCAGTCTTATTTGTTTCAGGATTCCATCTGATTTTGACCATTTCATGTTAAAAGAAAAACTGTCAAAGTCCTGTGCTCATCCTCTAATTGTGCTGTGTGGGACTTGCCTGCAATAAAGTACTTGTGAACTATATTAAAGACATGAAATCCCCAGAAGCCTGGCATATATTTTTCACTACTAATGGTCTGAAAAAACAGTGCAAATCTTCTCTCACAACATTTTGTAATATTTTAAGACTTCTAACATCAAAGTAAGAAGGGGGGAAAAAAAAAAGCTACCCTGTCTTTTCAAAAGAAAAGAGCTTAAATTAAAACCTTTGGTGTTCATCTTCATTCTTTAGTAAAAGAAGCTTTCTGGTAGTTTTGTTTTTTCCAGAATCAGTAATAATGAATTAATTATCTGACATTCATGTACAGCTTTAAGATACATTATATTAACCTCACTAGTAAAATAAAGTTATCCATACTTCAGTTTCTTTGTGCTGAACAGTCCCGTGATTTGGTTCCCAAAATATAGGAGAGGTAGTGGAAACGTCTAGAAAATTTAAAAAGGGATAACAAAACTCAATAATAAAGACAGCTAAAACAAGGTCCTTTCAAACAAACAATTCTGTTTATACAATCAAATTCTTTCCACTTGAAACGTTAAGATTAGGTCTCATAAACAATTTTGGCCCCCCAAGAAACACTCAAACATTATTCTTGGATATATAACATTACTCTAGCAGAAAGAGGGGGGGAGAGCAGAGAAAAAAGCAGCAAAGATATGAATATGATCGCAGGTAGGCCCTTGGCGCTAATGTTAGCGGGAAAGGCAAGGCGTTCCAGTTTCATCTTCATGTGGAGTCAAACAGAGGCAGACAGAAGAATATAGAAATAAACACAAAGAATAATGAATTCGGAATATACTGGTTGGATCGGATGGATACAGACACTGCAAGGCGGCTGTACTCCTACCAAGTGTGCAATGATTACAAGAGAAGAGCCTCCTAGGATTTTTTTTGCCCCCTCCTCAAGTTTAAAGAGTGTGCGACTTCTCACACATATTACTGAATTTTTTTCTTCAACTTGCATTACATACACTCTGGACTGGGGGATTTCAAGGTTGCAATTTTTATGCAAGGCACTGATAAAAATACAGAATGACTTTTTCATAAAATAAAATACCACATTTTTTCCTTTTACCTTTCGAGGTACATTTCTGTCAAAGTCAGGAAACTTGACTACTCTGAATGCCTTTCCCACCCAGAGAACTGCTACTGTGGCCACCATCTGTAAACAGAGAACACACACAGATACACTGTTCTACCTCATAAAGACACACACAGAAGTTCTGACAACACAAACCGTGGAATGCAGAAGATTCCAACTAACCTGGCCAAGTCCAACACATAGCGAAGAGGGAAATCTACAAAAAGGGTAAAGAACGGAGGGGGAAAAAAAAAGAAATGGTCAGAAAGCCCACATTTGGCACAGTGAATTCAATCTACACACTGGCAACCTTAACTTTTTGATACATTTTGATACAATCCACAACTCCAGCCTCTTATCCAAATTAAAAAAAAAAAAATTCTGCTGGTTGCCAGGCCACACCAATGATTCCTATAGCCTTGGGCGGCCACTTGTCTCATCTTGTCTGATTTTACAATTTCAGTCGGCTTCCTGCAACGGAGTTTTCAAGGAAGTTAACACATATATCTCTTCAACGGTTTCACACCTTTAAAAAAATTTTTTTTAAGGGAAATACACACACTCACTTCTGCCTCGGAGTCCCAGTGACAGCAAGAGCGCAAAATAATCATAAATGGGTGTGAGGACACACACACATCCCCCGAGGCTGTCAGCCAGCGAGGGGGCACCCCGCTGTCCCGGCCCGGTCCAGGCTGAGAGGACACAGAGCATCCCTCTCTCTGCTCCCGCTGGCATGCACTGGGATCAAAGTCCCCGAGAAGTTTGCGGCACGCCCGGAGAAAGGCGGGGAGCTCCGAGGCTGCCCAGGCGCACGCAGGCGCTGGCGCACGCGGCCCGAGCGCGCGGGGTCCCCGGAGCTCCGCCGAGCGCGACCCCAGCCCCGCGGCCCCGCAGCCCGCCCTGCCGCCCGCTGCCCCGCGCTGCGCCCGCCCAACTTTGCTCCGCTCCAACTCGGGCAGCCAAAGTCCGGGACGCCGCGCGCCGCCGTCCGAGCGTCTCGCGGCCTGGCCGCCGCCGCGGCCCTACCTGTAGTTGGTGAGCACGCTCTTGTTCACCACCACGATCAGGAAGGAGCTGACGCCGTAAAAGCCGGCGGCCAGCAGCTTCAGGAACACCGTCAGCGTTTCGGCCGACGCCATCCCCAGATCCTCCGCATCTCTGTGTGTGGAGGCTTTCGCGGGGGCTTCTCCTTTAACCCGAGCATGCTGACGTCTATGAACTTCCGCCATGGCTGCGGCGGCGGCGGCGGCGCGGGCCCGGGAGGGGAGCCGCGCGCGGGCCTAGCGGAGGGGCCGAGCGGCGCGGGGTCTGCGGCCGCTCCGGGGGGGGACTCGCGGGCTCCGGGCAGGACCGCGTCGGCTGCGCTCCCTGCTTCGGCTCCCCGCACTGCCGCAGTCCGTCCCCGCCCAGGGGCAGGGACATTGGGGTTCACACCCTCGGGGACTTTGCCCCGGCATAGTGCTACGCGGGGTCACAGGGGAGGGGCCGCCCCGGCGTGGCCTGCACAGGGGCTGGAGAGGCTCTGAGGAAGGGGCAGTGGCGACCACGGGCCCGCGCGCACAAGGAGGGGAAGCTTGGGAACCACTTGAGGGCACCGGAGCGCCTGGCGACGCGGCCTCCTGCGCCTGCGCACGAGCACGTGCTGGGTGTCCCCACGCGCGGGGAGCGCACCTGGGTGCGCAGCTGGGCGCTGGGGCTCTGGGGGCCGTATTCTCCAGACTACTGCCGCAACAAGAGTGCAGACCCTCGCCCTCTGCAGCAGACGGCTGGCTGAGTAGTTGGGCGAGATGTTGCACTGGCACTTATTTACAATGCTTTCGGTCTTTCATGGAGATGCTTAAAGCTCCTTAAAAGTGTCAGAGGTGACTCGACAGTAAACAAGCAACAAGAATCTGCACCTCCTCAGGCTTCTCACACTACCCAGAAAACACTAAAGGATACTTTCTATGCAGACCAAAAAGGGATTTAAAAAAAAAAAAAAAGTTGCTATATCCAAAAAAGTAGCAAGATAAGCTGCTAGGCGATTGGTTAAAAAGCACAAGGTGTTTGGAGATTAAAAATCTTGAGTTCCAATTCCAGGATTCCTTTAAATGTCCCCCACCCCTAGCTGTGTGGTCCTGGAAAATTAGATGGCCCCTCTGAACTGAATCTCCTCCCCATCTCTGTGGTGTAAAACCAGCACTGAGCTTATTTTCAGTAAAGTTCCATCATTACAGAATAGATGCAAATCATCGGTTTAAGCAGAAATTACCATATCTAATTTTGATATCAGTAAAGAAAAGCTTTGAATTATTTCTCTAAATGCTCGGTCTCTGTATTTTTCAATTTCTTTTTTTCTCTTTATTTTAAAACTGGTAAAATACACATAAAATTTAACATTTGTCCTTTTGGGGTGTACAATTTAGTGACATTAAGTACAATCACGTTGCTATGCAACCAGCACCACTAATCCATCCCCAGAACTTTTTCACCATCTCAAACTGAAACTCTTTACCAGTTAAAGATTCATTCCGCATCTTCCACTCCTCACCATTTTCTCTAGTAACCATTGGACTATTATCAAGGTTCATCTACATTGTAGCATGTGTCAGAATTGGACATGTGAAGTTCTTAACATGGTTTACAAGGGCCTAGGTGATGTGGCTCCTGCCCACCTCTCCAGAGACACTATCTACATTCCCTACCTAAGCTGCAGCTAAACCAGCCATGTGGGTTCATGCTTTTGCATCTCTATTCCCATTTCTCCACCTCTCCAACCCTATCACCAGAAGAACTCCTGCTTTTCTTTCTATAGTTTGGCAAAGCATTGCATCTTCTCTGGCAGCCTTCCTCACACGGCCCCTCCCTACCCTCCAAAGAGTTGACATCTCTTCTTTGTGTCCCTCACCCCCATCTTTGTGTGCCCACTTTATAGAGTGCCTTTCTCTGCTGCTACAACAAGTCCCTGAGACTGTGTCATTTATAAAGAACTTCTAACAGCTGGGTGCCAGTGGCTCACACCTGTAATCTTAGCTACTCAGGAGGCAGAGATCAGGAGCATCCTGGTTCGAAGCCAGCCTGGACAAATAGTTTGCGAGACCCTATCTCGAAAAACCCTTCACAAAAATAGGGCTGGTGGAGTGGCTCAAGGTGAAGGCCCTGAGTTCAAGCCCCAGTACTGCAAAAAAAAAAAAATTCTCACAAAGGTAAGAAGTTCAGGTCAAGGCACTGGCAGGTTGGGTGTGTCTGTTTCCAAGATGGTGCCTTGAACACTACTCCTCAGGGTGTGAAGACAGTGGGCCACTGGAAATGGGGTGGGGGAGAGCAGTGGAGGAGGGAAATTCAAGTATGATAGATTTGATACATTGTAAGAACTTTTGTAAATGCTACAATGTGCCTCCACCCAACACAACAATAAAAAGAAATAGAACAGTGTCCACAGATGATAAAACAGGTCAAAATGCCAGTGCAGTGGAAAGCCTTTTTTCTAAGGCACTACCACACTCACAAGGGTGGAGCCTTCATGACTTAATCACCTCCTAAAGCCCTCACTTTTTCATACAGTAACATTGGGGATTAAGTCTCAGCATGGATATTTTAGGAACACATTCAGACCATAGTATGGAGAGTATGGATTATGTGTTTACCTGTCATTCTCTTCCACTAAGGACAGGGGCAGGCAAGGGTGCCTAGCACAGTTTAGGTGTTTTAGTTAAATGAGTCTGTGAATGGTAGATGTATAACTAATAACAAGGAAAAACAAATTTCTCTCTCTCTCTCTCTCTCTCCCCCTCTCTCTCTCTCTCTGAGCAGTACTGGGGTTTGAACTCTGGCCTCACACTTGCTAGCCAGGTGCTCTATCACCTGAGTCACTCCCAGTAGCCATTTTTTGTGTTGGGTGGTTCCAAGATAGGATCTTTAGAACTATTTGCCTGGGCTGGCTTCAACCCACGATCCTCCTGATCTCTACCTCCTGAGTAGCTAGGATTTCAGGCATGAGCCACTGGTGCCTGGCTAGTCAAATCTTTTTTGAGTGCTAGCAGTAGAAGAAAAATGGCTAGTTTATATTTGAGAACACTCTTTGTGACAAAAATGTTATAAGAGTAACAAAAGCAAATATGTACACACAAGTCTGTATATATACCTACATATGCATATGTAACATACCTCTTCATACGTTTTTAACATATCTGGATTAGAGCCAGAATTCTGCCTCTGACACTAGTTTTCTGACCTTGGGCAAGTTACTGGATAACCCCGTGATTCAGTGTCCTCATCTGCCAGATGAGGACAGCAGTAGTATCCTCCGCATAGGGTTATGCTAACAAAAACTGAGTGCATAAAGGTAAAGTGCTTAGGGCATAGTAAACACATTCTAAATGTTTATTTTAATAATAACATTATAATTACCATTATGCAACCTTTCTCTTTTAGTGTTCCTTGAAGGTCTTTCTAAGGTAGCATATAAACTCTACCTCGTTCTGCTTAAAAGTTGCAGAAGAGTCCGTTCTTAGCTGCATGATAATATCACGGAATCTTTCCTCGAAACAGGCTATTGCCAGCTTTTCGGTTTGTAAGCCACCCTTGTCTAATCAATTTTATGTAGGTATACCTTTCTAGGAGCAGAGTTGCTTAATCAAAGCCTACATTTTTCAGTGAATAGAATCAACAAATTGATCTCCACAGAAGTTGTTCAAATTTTATGTTCCCATTAACACTGCATGAAAATAAAACTCTCATTTACAAAAATGGCAATAATGGAGGGGGGAAAAAAGAAGCTGGATAATAGTTTAAGTTTTACCCTGTGAAGATATGATATGCTGTGCACACATTTATGCAATAAATCAATTGCAACTACACAAAATGAAAATAAACCTCCTAAGAGTGCCGAACTAGGCAATTGCTATTGTTTTTCTCAGCATGATTACATTATTTATTAGCAAATATTTGTTAAGACTACTACAGGCCAGGAACTGCATTGGATTTTCTCAATACTGGTGATGACTGGGTTGCTATGGACCTTCCATGAAATGCTATGGAAGGTAGTGGAGTCAAACATTCATATTACATGCCCAGGAAGATAAGATTGGTTGCCCTGTTCTAGTAAGGTTTTGTCCCTTTCCCATAATATAGATACTTAGAGTTTTAGGTAATTTTTGGTATTTTAGGTACTCCTACCTATTTCTTAACCTTGGTAATATTAATCACAGAATTATGTATGGAAAGAAGTATACATTATTTGAAAAGCAACCTCAATATTGAAACATCTAAAAAAGTTATATAAAATTGCAAAGACTGCAGTAAATGTTTTCATTAAGGTGTAAGCTCGCTCTATGTAGAAAGCTCAACTCTGTGGTTAATTAGTTTTATACCTTGCGGGATAGTATTGGTAACAGAAAAAGCTTCTTCATAACTAAATCACTTTTTTTAATCAAAACTTTGCCTTTAGCTATTAAGCTTCTCCATCAGGGAAAACTAATTCTATACACTATTTTTTGACATAACTCATCTTATTTCTTTTTCCTGTACTTATCTTTTTCCCTTGGCTCTCTGACTCTTCTTGTACTGGTATTTTTGTAAGTCTCTTTTGGTGTTCACCTCCATTCACAGTTTCTTGTTCCACTGCCAGCCCTACATCAATGATCTGCTGTGCTGTGTCACTGATTAACTTATAGTCAGGAAGCAAAGGTCATACAGGTTCTCTGTTTGAACAATGCTTTAAAAATTCTGAGAACCAAAGGCCAAGGAAAGTGTGTGAATCTTCTGCAGTAGCTGGTACTTCTCTAACTGGCCTGGAGGGAATGAATTTACTGACCACTGATGGTAACCCTGGCAATGTGATACAATTGTAACTCATAATCTCAACTCATCCTTAACACTCTAGGAAGTAGGTATGGTAAAATAACTTGTGAACAGGAAAACATAGGTCAAAGGCAGACATGCACTGGTTCCCACAGTTCTAAGTGAAGATCTATTCAGCTTTTAGTGTGTGCTCCCCAACTAGACAATCCTGCCTCATTTGGGGCAGATGAACATTCATGCTAGTATGAGAAGTTTTAGCACTGTCAATAATTCCTTCTATCACCAAGTTTAGTGGTTTTCAACCCTATGAAGAATAACTAAGCTAAAATAGCAGCAATCCGTTGAAGCTATCTCAGTAATGATTCATTCAAAAATATCAAACCTGACACCAAGTTAAGCATTAGAAATAAAGACATTTCACTCAATATGTTTACAACTGAACTTTAAACAAATCTCTCCTACACCAGTGGCTTCTTTGGCTATCCGAAGAGGCTTGATAGTTTGACCTCACTATTTACTTATTCACCATAACTCTGCCTTTCTTATAACCACTTCCCAATCTGCCATCGAACTAGTTTTGCCCTCTCTGCTACACCAAAGCTGCTTACTCCAAAGTCACTCATGACCTCCATTGGACACTCTTCGTCTTCTTACTTGACTTCTCTATAGAGTCCCTTGCTGATACTCTCCCTTTCCTTTGCTA